TTCTCTGCTCAATAATGTTTTAGCAATTCATAAAATGAAAAGTTTATTAGGAAAATGTATAATCAATAGTAAAATGTTTTACTGAAATACAATGAACTATAGTCACCAAAGGATCTGGAACTTCGACATCAGTTAAGGTTTTGTTGTTGTTGTTGATTTTATTGAGCTCTACATTTTTCTATGCTTCCCTCCCTGCCTCTCCCTTCCCTTTCAACCCTCTCCCATGCTCCCAATTTACTCAGATTTTAAAAAATCTAAGGTGAGCTCCTAAATGGCGGATGCAATTTCTACAGAATGTATGGTCATCCCCTTTCTCCATGTTCACCTCTTCTGTAAACATTATCTCTCGGCCATGAGATTTGTACAAGAGAAAGGAGAGCTCTAAGTTGAAGTCTAGTAAGAACTGAGCAGTACGCAACTAGTACAGTAGTTGCCCTGGTGACTGAATTTCACCTGGTCAGGGGTAGGGGAAGAGTAACCTAGAAGACACTTACATCTTAGAGCCACTGCTATTTAAGTTAAAGTACTAGTTTTATAATTAGTCTGGGGCCAGGTGTTGTAAATTGCTCTTGCCTTGCTTTGCAGAACTAATGGGCTTCGTTCCTAACGTTAAGAACTCTGTTTATTACTACGCTTACCAGACTTCGAATTCTTGGCAAGAACTAAAAAGTGTTGTCTTCTATAATTTAATTTTCAGTCATAAGAATTTTCACCCCCAGACTAAACAACACCAAATTAAAAGCTTGATCCAATTTGTTCAAGGATATTTTTCTCTTCAACTTTTTTACCTTTGAGGAACAAAAAGTTATATTAAATGAATAAAAAATAATTATCTCAGTTTTTCATAAAAACGTACCAATTTTCCAGTTTTGTTTATCCAAAGCTGCCTGAAGGTTTGGAGATTAAGAGAGAATAAAACTCTGAGCTGTCTGTTCGAATAATGCAAATGTTCACTGTGGAGGCCAAAGAACTGGTGATTGCTTCGTTGGTGATTGCTATTTCATTTTTGGAGGCCTAGAACTCATTTCTCATGAAAATCCTACAAGGGATGTTTGGTCTTCTAGCTGTAATATGGACCCTGAGAGATATCATCACCCATGTATTCCAGTGTTCTTTGGGGGTCACCATTTTTTCCAGTTCCTTTCTCCAAAAATGTTACAGGCGTTTTTAGAGAGCAGTGTGGAATTGATGGCCCAGCTACTTACCTATAACTTCAGTTCCAGGCATCAGTAAGATACCTGTTAATGCTTAGGCCTTGCCCTTTATTGAGAGGAGAACCTGGTAGGAAAAAAATTTTCCCCTTCCTAAGTATGCAGCATAGGAAAGTGCCCCTTAGATGTGGACACTATCAGATCAGTCCTTGAGACTCAAGGGACACTAAATATCGACCATTTTCCAGTCCCTTGTAATCACATCTCCAGTAATATTTTTATTTTCTATGGCTTATAGATAAAATGAATTGTCACACTATACCAGGTTGATTTTAATCAATAGAACACGCTATCTACTTGAAGAACAATGCAGACAAAACATTATGAACTCAAATGTGCCTTCTATTTCATAACCGAATAAATTAGGTATAAATTTTTCCATATAATCAATCAGTGTTAAATTGTCTAATGTAAACCTGATGAAGAACAGCTGCAGTTCTTTATAATTGCTCTATAAACCACATGACTTGTTTATTCCTGAAAAGGGAGAGCGATATTTGCTAAGAATCAAAATCATTTTACATTTGTAGATTTTATTTTTGAGTGCCTGTAGAAGCCAGGAAACTAGGAAGGGCTAATGGGAGGTGGGGAGAGATATTTTAAGGGGGGAACAGTAGAGCTCATGTGGTATAAAGGCAAAAATTGGGAAAACTGGGAGGCTATGGATAAAGTGAAGAGGAAGTGGGAGGTTAAGACCAACAAGAGGGTGGGAAAAGGAAAATTAACACTAAAGGGTTTTGAAAGAGTCATATGGAAACCTATTATTTTATAAACCTTGTGTGTGTGTGTGTGTGTGTGTGTGTGTGTAAATGGACACTGGAGAGATACCTTAGCAATTAAGAATACACATTACTCTTGCAGAGGTCCCAACGCTCTTCCCTAAAACCACTTCTGGCACCTTATATCTGCCTGCAACTCCAGCTCCAGGAGATCTGATACCATGCCCTAGCCTCCTCAGGGCCCCTGTACTCATGTGTACATATCCATATACAGAAAAGAGAAACACACATACGCAAGATTAAACATAATAAAAGTAAGTCTTAAACAAGTTTAGAGTTGCCCTACTGGCGTGGGAGAATTGTCTGTATTCTGTCAATCATATTTTAATAAAACGCTGATTGGCCAGGCAGGCAGTATAGGCAGGAAAGCCAGACAGGAAGTAGGGGTGGAGCAAAGAGACTGGGAGTATTCTGGGAAGCAGGAAGCTCTCTGCCACTCCTGCCCAGATCACCGAAGAGGCAACATGTGAGCCGCCATGCTGAGAAAGGTACTGAACCGTGTGGCTAACATAAATAATGATAATGGGTTAATATAAGTTACAAGGACTAATAAGGAGCCTGACCTAATGGGCCAATCAGCTTATAACCTAATGTATACTCTGTGAGATTTTCTTTGGGACTTGCCGGCTGTGGGGTACTGGGCAGGACAGAAACCCCAACAAGCTGGCCCTCGTGCTCACCCTACACAGGAGAATAATGCTCTCCAAGACACAAGAGGTTATCAAATAAAGAACCCAGTGCCATGTGTGACTCTCTTTGATTTGTTGATCTGTGGCATGCCATAGAACTTCAAAATAATGCACTCTCTTGGCATTGCTCCTGGTTTCAACAGAGCTTGAAAGTAAGAACCTATTTCTGAAGATACCACACAACTGGGGCACAAAACCTGGAGAAACCAAGCTGATAATGATCTGAGAGGTTTTCATAATGGTAAAAGGTGCTCTTCAGGCTGGTGGGGGAGAAAAATCATCAAGTCTCACACAGATATGAACCCTGTGAGCTATATAAATGACCAAGTTTGACAATGCATGCTCATTGAATTGAGTGGTGTGTATATTACAGGAATAACCAATCACTTTTTGGTTGAATTTAAAGCCTACTTCATACAACAGAACTGATCTGGGACCCCAAACCAGCCTGGCTGGGCAGCTTACGAGCTACAAGAAAGAACTTACTATTACTATTTTGCTAAATTGACACAGTATCAAACTACCTTATATATACCCATAAATGAATGCACTTCTCAGACCACACCAAAGAAGCCCCACTCCCCCAGAAGTAGACCACAGTTAATACAGAGACTCGCAGCTGCTCAAATGGCAGACCTTAAGTGACTATGAAACGCTCATCTCTAAATGTGAAATCTTCACCATGCCTTCCTTCCCAACAGTTCAAGGAACATCAAGGAAGAGCCAGAGGTTAGGGAAGACTGTTGCTAAACCGTTTTGTGATGTAACAGAGCCAAGATCTGAGAAACTCACAGTTGCTGTAGCTGCTTATGTAAGATCTGCACAGGATCAACCAAGTAAAAACTCCAGAATGGATAGGGGAGGAACTCATGAAGTTAGCCCCCTATATGAGGAACTCTTGACAGTTTCTTACTAGAAAGGGAGCGTTTTCTTCACTGTAGCTCCAGCTCCACTGGGTGGCCCTACACGCATACTTACTGGCCTCACTAATTTGATTCAATGATTTATTTTTAAAACAGGGGAAGGCTAAGAAAATAGTTAAGAGACAAGTTTTGGCTGAGAGTTTGGGAGGAATAGGGGGAAGTGACAGTCAATACAATCAAAATGTTTTACATAAATGTGTGAAAAATCTCAATGACTAAATAAAAATATATTCTGTATATACAAAGTAATGTTTGTTCTCCTTCCCAAAAAGCCTATTCTACAGCAAAACCAAAACACTCACTTATTTCCATGATAGCTAAATTTTAAAGTATTAAAATCTGAGGAACCCTTAGAATCAGAACTTAACGTTTTGTTCTCTCTCCTAAACGCAGATATCAATCTTTATTGCTTCCAGTATGCCTCCAACTGCTTTACTTTTTCCAAGGGTAAGGTTTTCCTCACTCTGGCTTCCCCATCTCAATGTACCATATTTCCAGTCTACCCTCATTTTAGAACAGTGGAGACATTTTCTATAAATTTCTCATTTCCAGAGTCTGATTAATCAGAAAAGAGTAGGGTCCATACCCGTTGCCTTTCACAATGCTACCAGAGAACACATTCCAGCTCCACTGTGGGCTCAAAGAACGGCCCCTTTAATGTCACTCATCCCCAGTACCTGTGCTGCGGACCTGGGAGGCTGGGTGCTTGGCTGAGCTGTGCTTTTAACGAATATGCTCTCTGATTAGCTTGTCTAACAAGGGAATATATGCTTTGCTCTCCTCTTCTTAATGCTATGGTTACTGTAGGGCTTATTAAGTAGGATTACTTTCAACAGTCTTGAGGAATTGTGCTGCTGGCACAATGAAGTATAGTGTTTTATATTGATTTATTCTAAGGAAACGAATCATATGGTGTCATTCACTAAGTTCTCCTTTCTCTCTTCAACTACACCTTTTTTTTGCCTGTATTTGACACATGAATTCCACACTGAATTTTTTGTGGCAACAGGAACACTAAAATTACATGATCAGTTGTAATTATACAGAAAAAGGTGTTCTAAGTCCTGAAGAAACAGAGATGATGTTAATGAAAACCGGCATAACAGGTCAACAAGATTTAGTAAGAACTGAGATAATATTCTGCAAGTAGAACTGTGTTTCTCTAAATTCAGTGGATAATTGCCAACTGAGATTCTAGTAAAAAGAAAAAAGTAATGATGTAGATTTATAGATCCTAAAATAATTTTTTCTGGATATCTTTCCAAAGAGGCTTATCAAACCATTGGACCACAACTGGACTTAGTCATGCAAAGTAATTTTATATAATAGGTTTGTATCCAATTGCAGTTCTAATGTAATTCATGTACAAGTATTTAGAAAGAATCAAATGTAATATACCTTTTCTGTCTCCATCTTGCTTGAAACTTTCCCTTCGTCATTACTGCTTCTGAAACATAAATTGACCCAGTTTGTAATTTTATTAAAATGTAATTTGGAAAATTTTTATCAAAATATCAATAGTCTTTACCCTAGAACTGGTGTTGTTTTCTCTTTTCTCTCATTTGTTTCTTGTCCAATAACAGTTTCTGTAAAATATTAAATGAAAGAAACACCATTTAAATAAAGAGTTATTATTGGGTCTGCATATGTGTATGTGTGCAAGTATATATGTATGTATCCATTAGAAGATTGAAACATTATTAAAAGTAAATAAATTCACCTTATACCAAAATAACATCTTCTTTTATAAGTAGAAATATCCTGCAGCATCTTCCATTACAATCGGAGCAGTTAATCAGAGCAGGAAATACCAATGTTGGAATTAATGCTGTGTTGCACCCAAATAGGATATAGGAATTAACGATCTATAATTTATGCAGGAAAGTCATTCAGGTAAAAGGAAAGTAAGCTGAATGTCTACCGATAAGGACTTGAGAATGTTCTGTTGAACTGACTGGGGGGTACAAAGGCATTCTTCCTTTTTATGCCAGAGAATGTATTTAGCAGTTAATTTAAAAGCAAAATATTTGTAGAACTCATTTTGATAGATACTGGGAAACTACAAAAATAGTGAGGCTGAATAAATCTCATGCATTTATGCACACGTAATTCAAAATATCACCCAGCATTCTTGAATTTATGCCTACTGCCTAAATGACTAGACCCCACTGTGGCCATATCAATACATGATACCATCAACTTCCAGTCCATGGGCTGCAGATTCATTGAAATAAGTCATCTGAGTGGCCTCGGCCTCTGCTTCAGCACTGATGATCTGCTGCGCCACAGCCTCCACGATGGGCATCACCATGGCAGCAGTAGAGGTGTTGCTAAGCCACATAGATAAGAAGGCAGTGCTGCTCATGAACCCCAACGTCAGCCTGAAATGAGAGGGTCTTTAGTGTGGAGTTGTGCTGTCTAGCTCACGTAGCTCTCTGCAAAGGATATTGTCTACAGATTGGGAACTCTGTGTTTGATAACACAGAAGATTAAGTTTCTGTCCAGGTGGGGGAAATCTGAGTGTAGTTATATAGACAGGTAGAATCAAAGTAAAACCTCTAAGAGTAGAGTTATTAACCTATATATCCCTTTTAAGGGTTCTAGTGGAACATTCTTTTTAAAACCAGATGAGTGATTACATTTACATCTAACCGCAAATTGGCATCAGAAAAATAGTTTGCAGTGTTACCCTAATATTCGAGTACTTTTCAATGAGCAGCTACTTGTCTCTAGACACAAGTAAGATGAAAATGCAACCAACTTCTGAGAGTCCCTTGCTTTTATTTCATTCTTTGGCCCCTTCTCTGTTTGTTAGTTTGTGCACCAAACAGAACCAGGGACAGGATTAATATTTATAAACCTCCAGTTTATTCCCTCACTTTTCTGGTTCGATATATAGTGGGTGGAGATAATGGTTACAATCACTCTATAAAATGAAGTTTCAGAATTTTCTATAGATTCTATTATTTATACTCTCTGGAACCTAGCATTTCTTCCTGCTGTCAGGAATTAGATTTACTACTTGTCTTCTCTTATAACTAGAGTAATTTATCCTTAAAATAACAAATATTAGACTTTGGGACTTAAACCATTTTTATAAAATTTTAAAACAAACTTGGGGAAACGTTTGATCTGACAGGAGACCACCCAAATCATTCAGAAGCAGATATTTCTATGAAGTATCAATTATAGAATCTTCTTTTCAAAAATAGATCCATATAAGCAATTCTATACCATGTGTCAGACTTGAGTGTGGGGAATATTTTCCTCGTGTGAAACAACATAAAACATCTTAGAAATTTGTTTGAACAAGAAGTAAATATTAATTTTAAAAATGGAAGATTTTAATAGATATCTATATAATTATAGTTCTTCTATATTAAACAATATTAGCAACAGGTAAAGCTTCTGCTGGTGGAAATGCCTTAGACCAAAGAGCCATACAGTGATGTAACAAACAGGAGTCTTACTTTACTGTGTAGTATGCTATCCCCTCTCCCGGACTAATGACCAGATAGAAAAATTTCTATGATGCCCAAGAGGAACATGCTTTTCTAGTGTTTGTACATAATAAATACATTATACAGAAATGTATTTGCATACTAAATATTCTAAGAAATGTATTTTGTCAAATTTGTCTCATATGTATCATATATACACAGAGAAGTGTGCATGAATATACACACATAGTATTTCAGCAGAGAAGTGTACTCCGCAGGAGTAAACAGATAGTCTGCTATGCCCTTGAAGAAATTATGCAACAGAAGTCGTTTTTTTCATATTTTCCAAAAAAATGATAAGAAGGGCAAAAACCACCTAAGGCTTTAAAGCAAAACATTATGCAAATGATTATGACACCGAAAATGTTCCTTAACTGATGTTCGTGTTTATAACAAGAGGTGGAGTAGAGCCCAAATAGCCAATTAATTTAATGGAATAAAACACATTCCTTTCAGTGAAGGGGAATCAGTCAAATGAGTAATTTCACATATAGAAGAAAAATTTCCATTGATTGTTTCACTTTGCAACACTTGATTTGAAAATAAAAATGTGTTCACCTTGAAATTTTTCTGCACAGATTTGTATTCTGTCAGTAATGCCTTTGTCTTTGGTTCATAACATCCTCCCTGTTGATAAAGGATGCTCTTGGATGGGTTTTGAATGTGTAATCAGGCAGATAAACAGAGTGGGACTGAAATCTACTCTGCAGATATCAACCTCCTCCTTTGAGGTTCAAGGCTCCTCTAACCTTTGACTCCAAAGATGCATTAAAGGTGCTTATCTGTTCCACTCTCCCTGAAATCTGACCTGCGGTGAAAGAAAAGTTGTTTTATTTTCCTTCCTATCCCTCAAGCACGCTTCATATCCTTTTCATATTTTCACAGTCACCCTGCTACCCAAGCCATTTTCTGCATTACTGTTTTGTAGTTTGCTCTACACAAAATGGTCTGTTTAGGGTATAGTATGGATGAAGTCAACAAGGGACTCACCAGGCTGGATTCACACCCACCATCATCACCATCCTCAGAGCAATCCTCCTGTGCAAATTCCATTTTTCAATTGACGTTGCTAAACAGATGACTCCAACTAACAGCAGGTGAAAATCTTTGAAATAAGAAGAGGCCACCTGAAATTGCAAGGTGCACGATTATGTATCTTGCTTGAGAGAATGACGTACAACAAAGACACTCATAGGTTACCACTCTTAACTGTGACCTTGAACTATGTCATTTTCTATTGGGTCAAAGAACAGGTAAATGTGTTTTATTAAAAATTTAAATATGATTATGGCTTTATTCAGAAATACAGCTATTAAAAACATGCAGGGAAATATGCATACACAGGACACAAGACTTTTAAATATGAGTCACTTCATATAAGTGGTCATATGTTATAATTTCTCCATCTATGAACTTAGGTTACTTTAATAATGTCCTATGGTGGAGTACCAATGACTTAAACGTCAGAAAATTCCACATCAGTTCCACTTGCTGGGGTTCAGCCTGCGTGGTGAACAGGTCCCAAAGAGGAGATAAGAAGCTAACGAGGGATGGATGAGCCAGGCATGATGGTTGAGAGAATCTTATAGCCTGACTAACTAGCAGTCAGAGTGCCTCTTTATTTATACAGAACTCAGTAAGCAGTAAGATCCAAGTTTTTCCAAAGCATAGATCATATCATTTTTTTTCCGGACATGTGTTTAACTTACTCTTGAACATCTGGGGTCATAAATTTAGTTGTCATTAATAAGCTGTGACAGAAAAGAATTATCTTTTTACAATCATTTTTACTCATCAACCCCATAAAGCAAGTTTTAAGAATCTAGAGGCATTCTGGTCGGTGGTGGCATACGCCTTTAGTCCCAGCACTTGGGAAGCAGAAGCAGGTGGATCTCTGTGAGTTTGAGGCCAGCCTGGTCTACAAGAGCTAGTTCCAGGGCAGGCTCTAAAACTACAGTGAAACCCTGTCTTGAAAAACCAAAAAAAAAAAGAAAAAGAATCTAGAGGCACATGACAGTCTGTTCTCAGACTGATAGCTTTTGTGGCTTCAAAGACACTAGACCAAAAGAAAATCTCCAAGCCAGCCCAGGCAGATAGCCATGTACCAAAATATTATTAGTAACTCTTAATGGTCAAAGTGCCCAAGAAAAATTTCTAGACCAAAAGTGCTTCAGTTATTACTCATTTTCTGTCATAATATAATGTTTTGCATTTTATATCTTTATTGAATTTCTTTATATGTCAATTCCTTGGTCATAAGACACCACAGTGGCTCTGCATAAGCTAACTTTTCTGAGAAAGGGAGATCCTGACACCTCATTCTTTTGTCATCTTTCTTCATCATTCTTTGTCCATAAATATATGCCTGTGTGAGGCAGAGGTAACCGAAGCTAATCTAACTTTGTTGCTGTATATGTCACATCATGTATAATAGGAAGAGGTTTGGAATCTGATCTGTGGCCAACTTCTCTAGCCACCAAATCTTGTAGACCTTTAAGTTTACTTTGGTTTGGTTATCTTGTTCCTGAGTGAGTACAGGACAGATGTTTCAAGAATATCTCATAGCCTTAAAAAGAAACTTCTGACTTCTTTATGTGTGTCACAACCTCCAGAGAACCTAGACAACAATGAGGACCCTAAGAGAGACATACATAGATCTAATCTACACAGGTAGTAGAAAAAGACAAGCTCTTCTGAGTAAATTGGGAGCATGGGGACCTTGGGAAAGGGTTGATGGGGGAGGAGAGAGGCAGGGAAGGGATCAGAGAGAAATGTAGAGCTCAATAAATATCAATTAAAAAATTAAAAAATATTCAAGAAGATAAGGATATTTTCCTAAGGAGGCTATCTCCCAAAGGAGGGGTGCTGTACTCGGGACTTTACTAAGAAAGCTTCGAAGCAGTGCTCCTTGAAGAAGGCATAAATGATTAATAAGAAACTTTCCTTCAATCCAATATCCTCAAATTGTACAAACATTAAAATTTCCCCAAAGTGTACAACAGGTGGAGATTAAAACCACAAGTGTCACGGTGGCCATCATGTGGCTCAGCTTTGCTGGAGTTTTGTCAAGCAGCTGTGCTGGCTCTATGACTTCTGCCATTCAATCTTCACCCTCACCAACCCAAATACACATCTTTATTACTGCCTGTTTTCTGAGAACTATAATCTTCTTTCATATTTGAATGATTTCATCTTGAAAATTTTTTGCTACATATTTTTTTAAAAAAAAAAATCCTTACCTAAAGGCCATCATTTTAAACCACTTTAACTTAATATCACTCAGAGAGAAATAGTACCCAGACACTTTGAGCAATCATTTGCCAGAATAATTCCAAAAAATTCCCAATATGTTAAATGCAAATCTCCCCACTCCATGAGAATTGTGTTCAATCAAGTTAAAAATCTCAGCTCTTACAGTACTAGATTTTCCCCACAGGCCTTTAGAAAGCCTTTAAATGATAATTTATCTTCTTTTTCAAAAAGTGGCCTAGCGCACTGCCCATTTTCAGAATTTCTTTACTTTTAACAAATTCACTGGAATCCTGCTAGAAGAAGGCGTCTCATGTAACTGATATTTGGGAGAACTGAGGTTAGGAAATGCTTTAAAAATCAAATCACAAAGTTGTGATGAAAGGAGGGGATTGGCCGAGAAAATATCCTCACAAATACCTGGCAATACAGAAGGGGAGGGATAGATTCAAACTATTCTAATGCCATGGAAGACAAAGAGAAAAGAAAATGAATTTTGGTGGTGATTTTGCTATTTTGAATTATATAATCATTTATAACTGACCTGACTTCAGTAAAATAAAAAAGCTGATACTATCCTTTGAAACTGGAAGCAGACAAGCAGAAACTTGTACAATGTTTGTGAAACAATGACTTTTTAAATGTATTCTAAGTATATGTTATTTATTTTTGGTAGTAATTGGGTAATAAATATAATAATATTATTTTGTTTATTAGTGTAACCTTAAAAATGTATCTGCCATCCATCCTAAAGTGTTAAAGAAACAGAGGGTGTGCAATCTTTGTCTGGCCACATGAGTGCACGGAAAGTGGGGTAAAGGAATTAAGTTGAGCACAGAGAGACAAAATATGTGAGTTTTCATAGGTGAAAACTGAGAGAGAATGCTGGCCAGTAGAAGTTGCAATGGCGTGTGGAAAGACGGAAGGTTAGAGGGTAGCTACCAAGAACTATTAGAATAGAGGTCTACACTCAAATATTCCGAAGCACAATAGGTTAACTAGAGTTCAACAATTGATTGCATCTTTTTATGAAAAACTAAAAGAGAAGAATTCAAAATTTCACTACATAAAGAAATGACAGCCACTGATGGAGCTGGAGAAGCTCCTCTGAGACAAAAGGAAGGAGATGTCTGATAGATTCTTCCCCATGAGAATTTCTTCAGTGGTAAACCATCTGGGATTTAAGTAGGTCCTGCTATCTTTCTGACCTACCCTGCTTATTTTGTTTACCATATCTTGCAAATGCTTTCTTAATGCCATGCTCCCTTTATTACCCCTGATACCACATGTCCTGTGGCTTCAGAAACTTGATGTTTTTAGATCATCATATGTCCTGGCACAAAGTAGAAACTCTGGAAATAGTATTAAATAAATTAAAGAGGAAGTGAAGGAAATTATTTCTATGCCCCTACCCTTTTAAACGTGTTTATTCTGTTCTAAATCTTCTAGTCAGCTAACTCTAGGTCATTACTTGGCAATAACTATTTTAGTATATTGATTTTCTTGTGTGTCTATACTTGTGAACAATCTTTTTCCTCAATAGCTTGTTCCTTGCTCTTTGAGAATTTTTTTCTTGCCTACTTTGAAATGCTTTAAATTTGTTCTCACAATTACATTTACTCTGGAAAGTTCCGTGCGTGCTCTTGTTTCATATATCTAATAGAAAATTCTAGAGATATAATTCCTATCTCTGATGACTGATATACACACTATCTAATATAGTAGAAATCAACTTCATACTTCCTGAATGAGTAGTGAGTACAACCCTATGCTCTTTGTATCCTGATAGAGAAGTCCAGGCTCCAGAATATGAAAACAATGGTCACTTGCATTTCTATCAACACCTAAGAGCACAATAACTCAAAATGACACCCATTTTCTCAACCCAAATATTCTACAATGTCTTCCTCTTATTCCCTGTCTCAGGAAGAATGAAACGACATCTAGTCTGTTGCCTAAGTCAAATTTCTGAGTTATCTGTGATCCCTTTTCATTTCTGATATATGTATCCTGTTCCTTATATATTTTCTATATTTATAAATGCATTGAGTCTTCTCTAGGCACAAATAATTACCTTAATTAAAGTCACCACCTTTCTTTTGATAATCCACTCTAAACCACCATTACTCACTTTTTTGCAATGTGAATCTAGTCACATTGGTGACCTTTCTGTGCCCTTTCAGTTCATTCTGTAATATCTGAGACCAAATTTTTTATTATCCACTTGTCATACCTAACCCATCCAAGTTCAGTTTCACCTCATCTCCCCAGTTCAATCTTTGACCACCTCATCCAACTGCTTTCTGTTTATAGATTTCCCCAAACACAAAAATAATTTGGTATTTGCTTCCAATTGAAAATGGAATAGTCTTTCTGCATTCCTTACAAACTCCTAATTTTCTTTCATGGATTAAAACGGACGGTGAATCTCCAAAGATTCATTCTCTGGGACCCTAAGCTGTACTGCATGATATTTCTCCATGTTATTACAAAAATCAGTGCCTATCATATTGATTCTTTTTCACTTAATCTCCTCTTCACCAGACCAGATAATTTTGAAGATAGAATGAATTATATTGATCAGGTAGTTTTGAACTCAGTATGTACATTGCACATATGGTTTATGTTTAATAGATTTTTTTTAATTACCAAGTTCCTAGGTTCAAGAATCTTGTAAGTTATTAAATGAAAAGAAGCAAACTAGCAGAGAAGACAAGACAGTGTCAGAGGTATATGTGGAATACTTCCTCAAGGCATAATTAACTTTCAGAGTAAGTGACCACTTTTTTTCCAGAAATATGGAAAGTCATCCTGCAAGACCTGATACTCGATTTTGAAAGACACTCTAACCTCTTTTTGAGTTTGGCTTACGGAAATA